CTGTTCTTGGGAATGAGAAGAGTCTGAAACAAAAGGAGGCTCAAGGAACTTTTTTAATTGGCCGTTAGAAACCTTAGGGTGAAAAATGCTCACTAATAAATAGATCTGTTTTTCTTTAAGAAGAGCTCAGCTGTGGAAATACTTTCCATACATGCCCTCCCTCTCTCTCCCTGTCATATATATATATATATATATATATGGAAATTGCCTGGCAGAAGAGAAGAGGTCAAGTTTATGAACTGTAAATGTTCAGCTCCTTCTTCTTGTCATCCACTAACACAGTCTCCTACTTTGAATGTTTTGGTTCAGGTATCAAAGAGAGGCGTGGGGAGGTGCCTGGTCAGATAAAACATCTTCACAGCACAGGATCTATTCCAAGGATCTTGGAAAGATCCAGAGATGACCACAACAAGTATTTTATATAGGCAGCTTCTTGTGGGTTTTTTCCCCCTTTTAAATTCAGGTTTTATCTGTCATGCCCTTCTGCACTGTCAGTGCAACTGCAAACTACAATTCTCCTGCACTGATCCTGAGAAGGAGGCATTTTACACAACAGAACATCTGTTTTAATCATGGCAGAAAGTGAAAAGGGGGTTAACCTAGAAAACAGTGCAGACTCTAGAAATCCTGCGAGGCTTTGTGGGGTGCCAAAGCCTCACTGTGGCCCCTCCGGAGAAATGGCCGGGCCCCAGCGCAGCCCTGCTCCTGCCAGCCAGCTGAACACAGGCCCCCTTCGCCTTCCCAAAGTACTGCCCCATCCCTGCGGAGCACCACCCTAAACAAGGAGTGTGCGGTGATCCCAGACACCTCACAGGCAGCGTGGAGGACTGACATTTCTGCTCTCCTTGTTCAAAATAAGTAGAAGCAGCTGCAAAGTGGCCCCCGCCTGCCTCTCCTCGGGGGAGGCAGTTGTTGCTCTAACAGAGGGCCTTTGTGCGGGGAAGCCTCCCCCACTAATGTTATTTCCAAAAACAGCCTAAAGCAGCCGAACATCAGCCCCCACAAAGGTCTCCACAAGGCTCCTGGGTGCCACCCTTTGTGCTGGGGGTGGGTTTGGCCCCACTGACCCAGCATGGGCAAGGCCCTCAGAGGTGAAAATCACCGTCTGGGTGAGGAGGGCATAACCAGCAACCCATTCACGGGCCAAAAATGGCACCAGCACCTCTGTACAGGAGCCACCAGGCCACCACAGACAGCTCTACCAGGACCTATGAGAGCTGTGGACATGACCCCAATCACGCCAGGTCGCTTTCCCTGGCTCCCAGACACAGGCGCTGCTGCTCAAACCCCTTTCCCACCGGCAACAGGGCAGTGAGCTGGAGCATCACGTCCCTGCAGGGCCGCCAGCCACATATCAGGCGGGCATCTTTATTTAGAACATTAATGACACAAATTAAACCTCCGTCCTCCCAGGTCCCAGTAATAGCCACCATCCAAATGTGATAAAAATAGGCAAGTGTGGGAAATCAAGCTGG